CTCATTCTGAACTAAGGCAACAGACATATGCTTAAACACATTCTTCATTCCATGGTGAAATACTTCCGATGTGGGAGGTGGAAAGTGTGGGTTTGAATCTCTACTCTGGTTTTTCTATTTTCTGGTTTTGTTAGAATAGTACATAAGATCTCACCATTCTCCGTTTAAAAAAAAACTGTCTGATCCATGTTGGTGTGTGTTAGGCATGCTTTAAGAATGGTTACTAAATCAGGCACCAGGGGGCATCTAGTTCATTGGCCTCAGTCATATTTGAGAGATTAGGGCTGAATTCCAGCTGACATGGCTCTGGGCATGTACAGAAATCTAACTCTGGGCACACAAAGAACTTTGTTACAAAACGATGAGGTTTGACGTTAGCTCATCTCCAGTGCTTATTTAAGTACCACTTTTGATACTCTAATCCTAGGTTAGAGGAATCAGCTATTAGATAAAAGGACCAAAAAGTCCTGCTGAAGCGCGCAGTCTATACAGATGCTGGGAAAGCTAGGTCACACTAATGTGATGACACTTCCAGTAAACAACTGTTTTTTGTTTTTTTTTCCCTAAATCTGTCAGCAGCCACATAAATTGGTTTAAAAATGGCAGAGCCCAGCCTATGATTTGCTCCACTTTTCCCCCAGCAAATGTGTGTTCTGTTCACTACCGACATAAAGTATGCTGCTTATAGAAAACTGCATCACTTAGATGGATTCTACCTCGGGCTTTTTGAATGTCTGTACCTAGACCATGTGACTCAAATGGAGTAATAAGTTTAACAGTGGCCCATTTTAATTTCCTGTTACAATCAACAGAAAGACCTACAGGACTGAGCAGAATGCAGTTCTCTTGTTCTTTCAGTTAGAAAGAGGTCTCTTTAAAATAAAGGTAACCAACCCCCTTGCAAATAGCTCTGTACATCACTTAAGTGACACTGAAGCCCAGGTTTGGGACTTAAATGATCAATAAAACTGGGCTAAGGAAGGAAAACTTATGAATTCCTTATGCCAGTAGGATGGTATTTTTTCCCTTCCTTGTGGTTAAACTATTGTATCATATACGGGAAGAAAACTCTATCCAACATCAGCAATAAAAATAATGCAAGTTCACAAGACTAATGAGAAATTAATAAAATCCAAACCAAATTAATTAGAGTAAATCAATCACATTAAAAATTGAAGCAGATCATCTGGTATAAATCAACAGAGCTCCATTGAGGTATTTAATGGAGCCATCAAGGAAGCTCCATTTCACGAGTTTTAGTGAAGCGATTCTGACTAACCCAGCTGAGGATCTGATACGCAATTTCTACCCAACTAGGACTGTATACAAAGTCTCTGGAAACCTAAATATGTTGAAGTATTTGGTACTCACCAAAATACAAAGGGAGAGAATGCAGTAATTATTTTAGGACTATTTTCTACTGGCAATGACCTGGCTAACTTGCACTCACCCTATTTGATTCCCATGTGCGCTGTCTTTGAAGCAACAGAGTTTAGCATTTTGCATATTTCCCCCAAATATTCCTAAATGTGAAGCCAAGCAACATGGAAAAGCCTGCAGAGTCTTCTCACCAGCTAGGCTCTCCCTGAAACAGTCTACTACAGGTGTTCCTCTTTTTATTCTCTCTGCCTTCCTTCCTGATACACAAGATAATTTAGATATCAATATCACAAGGGCTTTCATGCAAAATTAACCAAGAGCAATAAGCGATGCTGCAAATCTCCAAAGCTCAAGAAAATGCAAATATAAATAATCACAACTATTTAATTCCATACCACCTTTGGCAACTATTTGTCAGTTTTTCATCACCTGCTATCACAGCAAAGTTTTATAATGCTAATAACCATTTCTGTTTTCATTATTCATCAGCTTTATAGATAACATTCCTGAAACCAATTTCTAGACTTGAAAAACAGAACAAGAATAATAAATATTCGTAACTATTCTGTATTTTACATAACCAAATTGTTGTTAAGTACATTCAGGCCTTCAAGGTCAGTAACTGAAGAACTTTTCAGAAGCCAAGATTGCAAACTTATTATTTTGTTCTTTACACTCCAGCTATTCCATAACTTTCAAATTGTTCTTGCAGCTAACTTGACTGTCAGAGTTAATGTAACAACTAGAGGGTAGAGGAAAATCAAAATACTCACTAAATGATTGGAGGTTCAAAGACCTCCTTATTTTATCTCCTCATTGTGTCATTCTCACTCCTGTTTAGGGACCAAGCAGGTGTTTATAGCTAAATTTATTTCTACTTAGTGTCTGTATGGAGGGAAATGCATGTTGATGAAGTCAAGTGTGACAATAGGAGACACTTTTGAAAGAGAAAAAAAAATCATTTCTTCTACAATTTAAACCAAACAAATTAAAAATGTAGACAAGGTTATGGAAATAATGGCTTTAACTGTACCTCATTAAAAACAGTTGGTTTTGACCCTGCTTTCCTAGTGTTCTTTTATTAACTTAAATGAGATACTGATGTGTAGCTGATGACTGGAGCCACTGAACTCCATTGTAAGCCCATGCTTCAGATTCCATGAATTAAAATGCCAAAAATATTCCCCTGGATTTTCTTCTGCCAGTAAGATTTGCTAATAAAAACCCCTCCTGTGCACTGCATCATATCAGGTCAAACATTATTTGGATTGAAATCTGAACACTGGTTTGCTCAAAACTTATGGCTTACCTTTGGAGTTTATTACACCAGCTGCAGTTGAAGCCAATCTGGGCAGTGACACATGGACCACAGCTGTTAAATTGGAGACAGGCTGGGAGACAGATAAATAAATAAAAATCAATACACACATTAATCTTATAAACAATTCTTACTACATTTACAAATCAAAAATAAATCCTTTCCAAAAGCATATTTAAGGCCCAGAGATTATTAGCGTTACCCATTAAAGACAGACTACCAACTCATACTATACAAATGCAAGCACAGAAAATACATTTGACCTTTAGGATTTAATTTGTATTGCATTTGTAAATTTAATCCCATTTCCACAAACCTCTTTTCAGTATAGCTACAAAATTTTTAGCATACTGTTATGTATTAAGGCTTTCCTTAAATGTTTTCTCTTTCTGGTCTAACATTTCTGGTAGACTCACTTTAGATAATATGTAGACAGTAAGACTGACAGGAAAGCATACAAGTAATGTAATTCGATTGGAGAAAGGATGCAAGCCATTTCAATTTCTCACAGTACTAGAGCTCACAATTTAGATTCTAAGATTTCTGAACAACGTTGTTTAACACTGGACAAAGAAGGTTGATGAATTGCAAGATGTTTTTGTAGATGTTCCTTTGAGATGGGATGTGCTACATATACAAGTTTCTGTGTTTGACTCTCGAGCATGAAAATTACTTCTTTTTCATGAACAAAAACTTACAAGAGACATGATGATTTTGGGAAACAATGCTATACAGCTATCATTCATGATCTACTGAAAATTGTAGGACCCTGACCTGCAAACTCATTTGAGATACAAGAGAACATGTGGTCTCCAATTCATCTGTAAGGAAGTTTTTCAAACTCAGATTATAGGGAAATATTTAAGAATGCTACATTTTTCAAACCTGGCATCTGTTTATATTTAATTTTACTTACTGGGTAGAGGTATCATCTCAACAGCTGACAGATTGGTAATCTTTGACATCTGTAGCTCAACCCTGTGGTACTCATAAATTGTTCTTCTACGGACATCTGCCAGGGAGGAAAAAACAAACCTGCATTTTCACTTATTATTTTGCAAGTTGTACTCCATGAGAAAACAATATGCTTAATAATTGATTACTGTAAATAAATGGTGTGTGTATTAACACACATACAATTTTTCCCCAGGATGAAAATTTAGCTTAAAAATGAGAGATTCATTTGAAACACCATCAGAGCTGACAGCTCAGGAGTTTTTCACTAATAAAGACTTTGAAAATGCTGACTGAGTTCTCACATATCTCATTAACTTGTTTAAGCAGAATTTCTATAGCTTATGTGCAAAGATATTTACAGTGTAATTCAGATATTTCTCAAGCTTAATGGTTTATAGAACTCCCTGGAACCTCATTTGTTGCCAAAACAGGCATGTGTATCAGGAATGGTTTCATCAAACAAAAATGGTTTCATCACTTGATTTATGTTGTTAGCTGGGGGTTAGCTCACATATTAATACTGAGGTATTTGCACTGCATTAAAATATATATTTTTTAATATCACAAAATAATAAAAATGTAAAGGGGGCCAAGACAAATAGTTTTCCAAAGGCAGCTGATTGTATAATTTTTGTACAGGTTGGTTCTACATAAGCATTTCAAGGTAGAAAATTCACTGTAAAGCCATACATGTTCTGTTTTGACAGACTGAAAACACTAGATGATGGTAACCCCAAAGCAGAAGTGAAACATGAAAAATACCATTAATTGTTGATTTCCTATTGAATAGCCTATTATTTATTCTGGTCGAACTTAATATTCTAGATATTAAGTGCATGACTTCAAGACACATTGGCAGGCCAGAACATTTGCCAATTAGAGGTTTCAAGTATACTTCTGGTCTGAAATAATAATGGCTGTTTCCAAGTGCCTTGAAGTCAAGATGATTTCCTTTTCAGAAGGCTGATCAAATTTCCACTGAAATCAATGCAAGCACCTTTCTTGACTTCCAAGGATCAAGCCAGAAGGGAAATGAGTGATTGCAAAGGATGAAAGATTTTCTCGGTCTATTTGATTTTCTGAGCTGATGAAAAAAAGAGGAAAAGGAATATGGATAGTTACAAACTTAAGCAGCTTCCTCCGCAGTTTGTGTTACTCATTCCGCATTGTATGATGGGACATCTCTCTCACTGATCAGAGGGACATGTTTTTATTGTCAACCCTTAAAAGGAATCTAGGGAATATTGTTTGATTCCCTAGCTGCTGCACAGTTATACAGCAGGTTTTTTTCATCACTTCTGCACAGGATGTTGCAGGACTTTCTTTTAGATGCAGAGAAAAAAAATTACATTAAAAGTAACAAAGACAGGCTGGCAGAACTGGACAATTTAGTCTGGAGAAGAGAAGGCCAAGGTGGGACTTAATAGCAGCCTTCAGCTACCTGAAGGGTGATTAAAAAGAAGATGAAGTTAGACTGGTCTCAGTGATGACAGACGACAGAGCAAGGGACAATGGCCTCAAGCAAGGGAACTTCAGTTTAGATATTAGGAAAAGCCCTATCACGATGATTAGTAAAGAAAGCACTGATACAGGTTACCCAGAGAGTTTGTAGAATCTCCATCCTTGGAGACATACATACAAAGCCTTGGTTAGGATGACATAATTGAGGGTGGTCCTGCCTTGCGCAGGGGGTTGGACTAGATGACTCCTGAGGTCCCTTCCAGCCCTAATTTTCCATGATTCTAAATAAATGTAATTTATCAATAAATACTAATTTCTACATGATATACTAGAAGAGACGCCTGTTTTTTATTCTGGAGAGCCTATATTGGCCTGGATGGAATAAGTCTGCTGGGATAAGTGGTATGGCTAGCCCTCGAAAGGACAAGTGCATGTGCTACTATCAGTACCAAGTGCAGGCGGTCAACAGCAATCTGTTGATGCCTGCTGAAAGCAGCAAAGCAAGCTCCAAGATGGGGCTGTATAGAGAGATCATGTGATATTTTGCCCTTTACTGACAAGACTCCTTGTAAAATGACTGCACCACACAGCTTCTCTGTTCTCCCTCACTACAGAAACTTTTAAGCACACATAGGCAGCAGACAATGCTACTTTTATATAACTCCCTGTGAGGTTTAAAAATGCTAATTAACTCAATTAGTTGTTTAGTTGAGACTGACTTCTACTATAATTTTATCTTTCATGCACTAATGACTTTTAGATTGGTACATTTATACATTCTAATGTCATACACATATTATATATATTCTAATATATAAATTATATATTATAGTTGCATATTACCGCAGAGCCATTTTGATTGGAGATAAGGCAGATCTTGGTTAAGCAAGACATCTACCCTGGAAAATGTGATTCCTGTCCAGACTTCCAAATGCATTGGACTAGAATACCTGCCAAGAGGAAGCTAATTTGGGCAGGGGTTGAGTAGATCTCCTGCCAACAGTGGAAGATTTATTCTCCCAGAATGTTTAGTTCAACAGAAGCACCCGCCAAATCAAAGTAATCAGGAAATGTGTTGGAAATGAACTCCTGCCAAAGCTGGAGGGTTTAATTTTTTTCCAAAGAAATCTTGATCCTTCTGTCCAAAAATATGTAGAGGAATACATAAATACAAATGATGGCATTGGCACTTTAAATGAACCCTGCTTCAATCTCTCATTATTAAAGGTTAACAGTTCAGATTCATTCACCATAATTCTAATAATTCCACGTCCACCCTGTTAAATGCCCAGTGGGACTTATAAAACATTAGCATTCACAGTTTTCCAAAGTTCCAGTGAAACAGATTTGGACACATGTAGATAATTATTAAAAATTACTAATATTTTATTTGATAATGTTATGCTAGTTGATTTCTCATCAGGGTAAGAGGACATTCCATTTAGGAGTAATTTTGCAGGTGGAGCAAGGCTTGACCTTTCCTTTTACAGGTGCAATTTATACCCACAAAATGTAATGTTCTATGGCAGTGCTTAGTATAAGAAATCCTAGCTTTTGAGTACTTGTGTGCATTAGATAAATTCTACATGTAGTATTTCCATGAACATGTTTATTGAAACATTTTACTTTTCTTTTCATCTTTGTTATCTGTTCTAATATTAAGTTGAACCCCCCCACCAAATTTATCATTCTTCAATAACAGTTCCTACTTCATTTCACTGGTTTCATTACAACATGGTCCAAATGGTTATTTGATTTATAATGGTTACTCTCAAAAATATCAACGCATTGTCTTTGAATACAAAACTACAGATACATTCTGAGCTTAAAGAGCTGAAGAGAAAATTAACCTCTTGAGGTAACTATATTTCTCAGCATTGTTGCCAATCTCTAGAAAGATAACGTGGTGTCACAAGGCCAATTGAAATAGTTATTTCAAGGGATTAAGCAGCATATCTGTAAATTATAGATGTCTAAGATACTAGATAGCACATTTTCTCCATAGTATTATCACAGTCGTTTCAAATGAAATAATGACATGTAAACATTACATGAATGAAAACTGCCAGAATTCACTAAATTACCTAAAGAATATAAGGGGTTCAAAAGACACTGCAGTAATAACAGAGTAGCAGAAGCATCTACAAAATATCTAAAAGGTCAGGTCCGTAACTGGTACTGAAATGTTTTTAATGTACATATCTGACAGATGTAAAATCTGATTGCATTTCTTCTGTTATATAAATTATCTTTTTTGCATAGGATTTCCAAACTAGAATGCACCATTTAGTAAATGATATTTCCTGGCATGCATGCTTAGACATGGATAAAGCACTCATTTACATTTTCTAGATTTATCTTCATGAAATAAAAAGGTTTCCTCAACTGAGGATTCCTAGAGAATCAGATCAGCAAGAATCACTAGCTGGGAAATAAGGAAAAAAACACCCTTATGGGTGTTTCACATGGGCATTTATACACATATTTTCGTGCTTGGATGCGCTGGAGATCCAGCACAGTGGAGCAGATACGATTAATCAAGTCTGCTCCACATGTGAGCTGATGTGTACCACGCTGCATCGCTTGTAGTTGTATAAGCAGCGAAATGCATGTCCGTTTGAAGAAAATGGAGGCAATGAGCTTTTGAACTAAAACACTTTCTATGCGTTTTAATTCAAAAGTGGACCGCTGTCATTTTCTGCATGCTGATGTGCATTTCACTGCTTATACAACTGCAAGCGACATAGCACCAGATGCTTTTCAAAGTGCCAGACACTGCAGTTCTTGCATTTGTAAAAATGCCTATTTCATCTGTTTTTAACTGTAATGGAGAAAAAACAATAGCCTGTTTACAAACAGCAAAATCAGGTACATGTTATGTGAATGACAGGTAAATTTAAAATATTACGCATTGCCAACAGTTTGTGAATTAGATAAATGATAAAGACGACAGTGGGAAACTTCAATTAAATCTAGCAATTAGTTTTCCATCACTAGCATCTCACTCTGTAGAACTGGTAGATCGATCAAAGTTTCACTTTAAGTGACAAAGTACAATCTCCAAGTATAGCTTTAGGATCAGTCATATTTTTAACTTCCATGGTGGACAGCCATCTACTACAGAATGTGAAGGAGTCCGAATTTAGTGCTGTTACCTACTAACATTAACAAACAGACATGAAATGCATACTATACCCCCAGAAGACAAGCTTGTGAACAAAAATCTATAACTTTACTGGATTCCAAGAACCACCGACTTAACACAGATAATGGTGTTATGGTTCATTATAATCTGACTTCTCCTTTGCCTACCCTCATTTAGCTCCACAGGTGATAATGGCTCTCTCCATTTTGAACCTAATTACATAATTAGGTTTACTTATTTCAACTGCTGCTTACTTGGTCTGTAACTACTTCTGATAACCATAGGTTTACTACCCACTTCCCTGTTTAATGTGATCACTTTAATTTGCATAATAGGGTTAAACAAAAGTAATTCTTTTAACTGGTGTTTAGTTTAGGCTGTATCTGCTTCTTTCCCAGACCTGGAGAATGACATTTTGTGTGTAAAAGCTTGTCTTACAGTTCCCTCAA